TTGAGAATTGTTTACGATAATCAATTGCGACACGTCACATTATATGGGAGCTTAAAATAATTTTTAGTTACAAAATTAAATATTTTAGGTTTAACCCAAGCATTGAAAATGAATAAAGAGAATGAAAAACAAAGTTTATATTGCCAAACCAAGTATTTCAATGACACGTGCAAAATGGGAAGCGAAGATTGGCCACTAAGCATACAAAAGCTAGCAGCTTCAAATTTTCCTTAAAGTCGTTAGTAGAGTTTCTGTTGCGAAAAAGCCCCTTGAGAGCTTGAGTAAGAGTCAGCCGTACCCCAGGCGTCACTAAATTTTACTATGCTTGTCGAGCCGACGTAATAGCTAGATTTGGTTGAGTAGTAATTCCTTTGAAGCCGTATTCAATGCAGACGACTAAGAGCCTTTAATGCTAATGAGTTATGATTGTTGAAGCACGACTGGGAGGAAAAGTTTCGGTCAAGTTACGCTGATCAATAGCAAAGAACCGCAACTGAAGCTTACAAATCAGTGTTTGCTGTCGTGATCGGTGGTTCCATAACTTTTAAGATGGGCTCATTATAACTTTTCGTGTTCACTGACGCATCTATCGGAGCTATCGGTGAAGTAATTTATTCACCTGGTGACTACCAAGTGCAAGATCATTCCAGCAAAGTGGACGGACTTTGATTTTTAAGGCATCCGTAGATAATGCGCAATATCGTTGCAACAACGATTTACTACCAGAACAGAGGAAGGGTACTGCAGAAAACAAGACGTCTGGGTGTCAGAATGATTTTCATTATGATATCGTACAATTCTAACTGAGCACTATAATATTAAATGCAAACAATACTCTGGAAGAAAGACAGTACTAATGCATATATAGTTACATTAAAGTATTAATGCGTATTAATGCTATGTACTTCTCGTACGCAGTGTGCTCGGACATTTGCCTGAGTAATGCATGGTCAGCGCTCATGCTAAGTTTTTATGTTATTGTTAAAAAATAGTCATTAAGATAAGACATTTATTATGAAGCTCTTTTATTCTGTACCCATACCTGTAATTAACGTCTTCTTTGGACTCTACTTTAGAATAAAGGACTGGAATATAGCTTTTTCGACAGCACGATCTTTTCATTAGTCACAAGTAATCGTAACTGCACATTTGTTACCATTTTCTGACTTAGGTAATGTGTCGACTAGTATTTTGTAAAAAACACACTCATTGGTGTTGCTGTAATGGTCAACGGGGTTTTAGTGTGCTAGGTAGTTTTAGCTTTTTGACATTTCTCACATTTACGTACGTACTCTGTAATATGACGTATTACATTTTTATACCCTGAACCCATTAAAAATGGGTTCTAAGGGTATATTGTATTTGTGCAAAATCCAAATGTATGTAACAGGCAGAAGGAAGCATCTCCGACCCCAAAAAGTATATATATTCTTGATCACCACCAAGAGCCGAGTCGATCTAGCCATGTCTGTCTATCTGTCTGTCCATCTGTCCGTCCGCCCGTCTGTCCGTATGAATGAACGCAAGGATCTCAGATCCTATAAGAGCTAGAGACTTGATGTAGGTGCTCCTAGTGCCTGCGCAGATCGTGTTTGTTCCGATAATCGATAACTTTCTCCGTTTCCAAGTAAGCGATAAAAATCGATATAGCACCCCCTTTTTTAAGCAAATCTCTATATGTAAAACTGTTTGTCCTGACTGACTGACTGATTGGTGATCAACCCACAGCCCAAACCGTAAGAGCTAGGAAGCTGAAAATTTCACTGTAGTTACCTTATGTGATGAAGGTGCATGTTAAAACGGGGTTTCGGGAAATTCCACCCGCAAGTATGGGAAAATCGTGAAAAACGTTTGTATTAAACCTTTTTGTTTACCATCCGATTGGCCTCAAACCCAATTTCAAAGTTCTTTGTTCAAATTCATTTGAGGGGTGTTTTACACTTTTCTAAAAATGTATTCCTCCTTGGTGGAAAAATCATTTGAAACGTGTTTCACATATTTCGATAAATCTAACCTCCTTCAGTAGAAATGCGATTCAAAGATTTTTTTAACTTATTTTTAAAGCTATACATAAGAACTTAGTGAATACGTGTTTCAGCAATTTGGAAAATTCCACCAACAACAGTGGTTAATTAGCGAAAAACGTTGGTATGACACTTTTTTGTTAACTATCGGATCGGCCTCAAACTTATTTTCAAAGATCATTGCTAAAATTCATTAGAGGGGCGTTTCACACTTTTCGAAAAATCCATTCCTCCTTGGAGGCAATGAGAGTAAAGATTTGGTGGGTGGCCTTTAGCTTTCAAGCTGTGTCCGAGTTATTTTTAAAGCTCTATATAAGAATATAATGAATACGTGTTTCAGCGATTTGGGAAATTCTACTCGAAACAGTGGTAAAATGACGTAAGACTGTTTTATGAGAGTAGAGAGCAGTTTCAAAATCATTTTAGCTATTCGAGAACATTGATTTTATAACATAAGTGCCACGGGCAAGGCCGGACTATACCCGCTATTTATGCATATAATACGAGCTAAAGTCATCAAAATTTATATGTTTTATCTAGAATAATACACATATCAAGTATCTTTCATTATATGCGTATCGCAACCTCGCCGCTACCACCCAACAGCTATAAATCATGTTAATAACCCAATTTTTATTGCCAACCAATTTAAGTCACAATTTAAATGCAATTGACTTTTTCGAAATACACAAATATTCTATGGTACAATAATATAGATTGTAGAAAATGTCATTAAGAAACACACAAAAGTTATGTGTTTTGACCGTGCACTTGTTAGCAGCAGCTAGCGCAAATTCCAAGAATTTCTGTATACATGTATCAACACATACGCGTCTTCTTTGAAACTGACATTTTCACTCTAGGCACTTATGGAGGTGCACTCTTAGTTCGGGCTTTGGAAATCCTACCCTCTAGTGTAGAAATGTCATGAAAAAGGCTTTATGAAACTTGTTTGCTTAGCATTCGATCGGCCTTAAATTAATTTTCAAAGAATACCTGTTTCAGTGATTTCGAAAATTCCATCCACAATGGTAGTAAATAAACAAAAAACGGTTGCATAAAATTTTTGTGCGTAGCATCCAAACGGACTTAAATCATTTTCAAATTACTTTATGAAAATTCATTTGAAAAGTGTTTCCCACATTTCACCAATTTCTTCTTGTATGATAAATGTGAATTAAATTTATTTGATTTTCATTCTAGACTTGTCATCTATTATACTTAAGAACTCAGAGAGATTTCTTTAGTGCTTTACCATCCACTGCAGGTATATAGTTAGTGGGAATAGTCAGTGATCCGTCCATTCGCTACGACTATTAGGGCAAGGGCTATGCCATCGGTCCTGTATATCGAGAGAACATTGCCTACACTAAAGTCTAGATCAGTGGTTACATCGAAAAGTATTTTGAAATTTTAGGTAAAGTCAGCAAAGCTAAGAAATTATCTGAGGGCAAACAAATTCTTTGGCTCTACGTATTCTTATATTGCCCTTACTTTACTGGGTAAGTTTTTGGCCTCCACTAGCTAATATGAATCCGAACTACTGAATGGCCCCCGAAAAGAATTGGGCTTTCTCTCTCGCTACTTTCATGTTAGCGTCAGACAAAGCCTTTAAAAAAGTTTTCCGTATTTTTTAGTTCAAACGGTAGACGACAGAGCTCGTATTACTGCTTCCCCTCGCATCTTATGCTGACGTCCACAATTAATCTCGCTGCCTGTTCGACTAATGCACTTTGAATAACTCATTTATTTTTTGCGAGTTCTCGCAATTTGATTCAATTTTTAGTTGCTTCATAAATATATTATGACCGACTGTGCACGGTCGGCAGTTTTCATTGTTGCCCAGACTGATATTTAAATTTGAGCGTTCGTTTTATGCGAGTATTTGTTGTACATTAATTATTTTTTTACAGTCACTGCCACAGTTGAATAAACCACCTGCCAGATTTTACAAAGTATATAATGTAGGTGTTAATGTAGGTTACAGATTCCATTAGTAGGTGTACACCAAAAAATGGCGATCTCGTGGGCCCCCTCCTTATTGTTGGCTAGCTACCAGAGTTATCTTGGCTCGACAATTAAACAGTTATGCATTCGGTAGCGCCAAATAGGTATATTTATTGGAACTTGTTGTTAATTACAAAAGCAAATATAATCTGAATTTAAGCAAAACGTTTTTAAAATCTGCAGCCGGCTAAGCGGAAGCGATAACGCTGACCTTGCGCCCTATGCAAGGAATTATGTTACCGCTGCGAAGCGTTGCAACTAGACCATTAACCGCACTGTTGTGTGCGTCAGCGCTATAAGTGCAAGTGCTCGCTTCCAATCGCAAGGGTCATTGTCAATTTATAAATCTATATACAAAACTGTTTGTTCTAACTGATTATGGGAAACTGATTTGACAAAGCTTTTATTATGTTCTAAAGCAGTACATTCAATGATTTCGAAGATTCCATCCACAACTAAGGTAAATAAGCGTAAAAAAGTTGCATTCATGTTTTTGTTTACCATTCGATCGGCCTCAAAATCGTTTTTAATAATCTTTGTGAAAATTCATTTCGCAACACCACTCTTCTTGTATGATAAGCACGGGCTAAAGGTTGAATTGGCAAAGTTTTCAGTGGATTGTGCTTAGATCTTTATGAAAAAAATTGCAAGATTTTCTTTGTGAGAATTTATTAAATACGATTTCGCAAAGTTCCCCGCTCTTGGATGGAAAATTTGATTCAAATGCTTAATTGTAAAAATATAATTTTTCGCCTTCAAGATTCTCATCACAAGACTAACATGGGAGGCATCCGCTGATTTCAACATTTGGTGCTTTATTCGATGCACTTAAAACATATTTTTTAAAAGAATTCAATTTTGCACAGGCGTGGACTTGGTGAAAAGGTAATATCTAAAATCTTAAGCACAAAAAGTTCTACGGACAATGCCGGGCAATACACTCTTATATATGTATATGCCCATACTTACTTTATTCATTATTACTGTGAAATCTTGTAACTCTTAAACCAAATTTGTTGTTAAAATTTTTTTATATCAACAATGTATCACACACTTAGTTTTTATGATGCATGTACATTTTTTCCTTCGAGGTTCGGAAAATTAATATTGCGCAACATTGTGTTCTCGTTACACTTATATATAATAAAGAAATTGTTCGAAAGCATAAGAATTCTAAGGAAATAAATTTTTATTATATATACTATTTTAACTGTCACACAATAAACTATCTTATACCAGCAATCTTCAACGACATCAATGCGACTGAAAATGTAAATCGATATTTGCCGTTAAAAAAATTTTTTCGTAAAAAAAACAAGAAAAATAAAAGATTCTCAATTTAAAAATAGTGCACATGCACTAAAAGTTTATTTATGAATGAGCATGTGTGTATTTATTTGCAAAAGTACAAAGAACTACTGTGAACGAACGTGTATATATATTTACTTACAATATATTAAGAACATAACTGCATTTTAGCCCAATTTTAGACGGACAACACATATCTCTATAGATTAATAAATTTGTAATAATACTACTACTTATTACTAAACATATTACATATACATATACATATACATATACATATACATATACATATACATATACATATACATATACATATACATATACATATACATATACATATATACATATACATATACATATACATATACATATACATATACATATACATATACATATACATATACATATACATATACATATACATATACATATACATATACATATACATATACATATACATATACATATACATATACATATACATATACATATACATATACATATACATATACATATACATATACATATACATATACATATACATATACATATACATATACATATACATATACATATACATATACATATACATATACATATACATATACATATACATATACATATACATATACATATACATATACATATACATATACATATACATATACATATACATATACATATACATATACATATACATATACATATACATATACATATACATATACATATACATATACATATACATATACATATACATATACATATACATATACATATACATATACATATACATATACATATACATATACATATACATATACATATACATATACATATACATATACATATACATATACATATACATATACATATACATATACATATACATATACATATACATATACATATACATATACATATACATATACATATACATATACATTTATATACATATACATATACATATACAGATACATATACATATACATATACATATACATATACATATACATATACATATACATATACATATACATATACATATACATATACATATACATATACATATACATATACATATACATATACATATACATATACATATACATATACATATACATATACATATACATATACATATACATATACATATACATATACATATACATATACATATACATATACATATACATATACATATACATATACATGTATAAAAACATGTATATAAACATGTATATATACATGTATATATACATATATATATACATGTACATGTACATATGTACATTTACATGTACTTATAAATAAAATAACAAAATAAATAAAAATATGTAAACATGTCTAGATTCAAAACACAGATACAAACGCCATTCTTTGGCACTAAATAGAAAGATACATGCATGCGTACATACCACTCAATATATATTCTACGATTGGCCTGTATGAGTCTGTGTCCCTCTACGTGTGTGCCATGCCTGGTTATCTGTCTGCTTGTCTCTCTATCTGTCTCAGTCATATATAGAATATTCTACTAATATCCTACTCACGCTTAGATTCAACACACACACAAACACAATAAGAGGTTCTAGTCGGGAGCTCCCGGCCTGGGGATTCCCTGAACCCTCATTCCAACAGCAAATGCAGATATATATTCTATTTTAGAAGCTTTATGTCAAGTTTGGTGACTCTAGCTATTATTATTTACCAAAACTGCCCAAAAAACGGGATATCGATATCGACTCGATTATCGATTGCTAGGAAACGGAGTAAGTTATCGATTATCGAAAACAAACAAGATCTGCGCAGGCACTAGGATCACCTGCATCTAGGTTCTGAGATCCTTGCGTTCATACATACGGACGGACGGACGGACAGACAAACAGACGGACATGGCTAGATCGACTCGGCTATTGATGCTTATCAAGAATATATATACTTTTTGGGGTCGGAGATGCTTCCTTCTGCCTGTTACATACATTTGGATTTTGCGCAAATACAATATAGCCTTATACCCATTTTTTATTGGTTTTAGGGTATAAAAATATCTATAGACATACAGCGCGACATGACAATTAATAATTTTAATTTTCAATTGGCCCGTCTGAATTTCTATCTGTATGTTTGTCAAAATTTCATTAACAATACTTTTCGAGCTGAATATAATATAAAGAAATACAAAATACAATAATTATGAAAGGTGGCTATATCCAGTCGGTTTTTGTGCTTCAGGCTTATTTGATTCACTTCTTCGGTGATGGGTGGGACGTGGAGGTCCTTGTGGATGGATTTTCACATAATATGTGGCCTTAATCAGCATGCACACTGTTTAGTTTTGAAATCTTTGCAGCTGATTCCGTATTTTCAGATTGACTTTAGAAAAACTTTGCATAGAAGCACTTTGTATCTTAAGCTTAGCTGCGATCTGAACCCAAGGAGCCAATTTATCTGCAGGATTTTCAGGCAACGCCGCTTTCTTTTGGGTTGACCACCTCAATCTCCTGTCTAAGGTTAGGCCGAGATACTTTAATGTGTTTTCTGTTGGCAGCGTGTGGCCGTTTTGTGGTGAACGTGTGTACTTGGCTGCATTGACCACAATATTCCATCTTTGGAGCCAAGGTTCGAGGCTTGACAGCTGAGCTTGCAGGATGACGGGCGGCTTCAACAAGATCCTTTGACGAAGCTACAAATGCAGTATCATCTGCGTAGGTGGCGATGATCTGGTCTTTTCTGTCGACAACAGGAAAGTCAGCTTTGTACAGGGTATATGGGACTGGGTCCTGCTTTATATCGAGGCCGCTAAATAGTATTTTTTAGTTTCAAAGGAGTTTAAAATTGTTTGTATTATCCTGTGACATTGCTCTGGGGTTCCATGCTGCCTCCCATAGCCAAATTGGTTATCTGGTATGAAGTTCCCGTCTTTCAGCAGTGGCAATAATCTGACCAAAAATATTCTTTCAAATACTTTCGAGTGTATTGCCAATAAGCTGATGGGTCGATAGGAGGCAGGGTCTTGTTTAGGATTTCCAGGCTTAAGTTCAGGTTGAGGACAAGTGGTGGAGCCTAATGATACTATAAAGATGGTCGAAAGAAAGGCAAGGGCATGTGGGGGAATGAGCTTGATGGTGGTTGCATCGATGCCGTCGTAGCCCGGGCTTTTGATTGCCTTGAAGCCAGACACTACATTTTCGACTTCTGATAGTATCGGGCATGTTGCCATATCCATTTGGCAATGTGCTAAAATATCTAAAAATAGCTGTGTGACTGTTGCATCCGAGGCAGAACATATGTTGAAGGGTGTGAAAACTCTCTCCAGATGAAGTGAAAAGAGTGTCCTCTCTCCGCGTTGGAACTACACCAGGAACCAGATGAATTGAGAATGGGTGAAATCCTATTATAAGGTCTCTTTAGGTATCTTGTGGCACTCCACAGGTTGTATTCTAGTCTATTAGGCTTAGCTTTACGGAGATAGTATTACAGTTTCTTGTTACGCTTAAATATTAAAAATATATATTGTATTCTGTCAAGTTCAATATTTATATCCAAGCATTTTTGTCTGCCCACCAAAGCTTCGTCGGAAATATAAAAATTATATATATTAAACTATTTGTTCAGACTGATCACCGCCAATCAGTCAGTTCGTGTACTTAGTAGAAAGGTAAAATCTACAATTTTTAGCACAAAACGTTCCACGGGCAAGGCCGGGCAATACCCGACATATGCCATACCAAATAGATAAAATGGACTGTTTATTTTTATTATTATATTTTTCTCTGTCCAAGTCTTTTTATTTATCTGTCTTCGCCTGTACGCAAATATTTAAATAAATAAATAAATTTATATATATATATATATATATATATATATATTTATATATATATATATATATATATATATATATATATAACATATGCCATATATATATATACATATATTAAACCAAAGATAATATAAACGTTAAGATGAGTAAGCCATAAAACAAAATGCTACTATGCACCTTGATTTTTTTAAAAACGAAGAAGCAAACTAAAATAAATATCTTACGCTCTCACAGCTAAAAGAGCGAAAAAGCTTAAAATAGATGTACTCTCAGCTTCGGCCGTGCAAGAAATTATGTTAGCATGTGTGTTAATATACATACTACATAACAGCTCTGGTATTTGCAGGCAAAGAAATTAATTTGGTTAGTTTTGTAGCGCTAATCACGACCTATCCCAAATTTGTATTCACATATGAAAGCATGTTGTGTACTGAGGTTGGGTCGGTTGAAAATCTGTGTTTTTAAGTCAATGAAAATAGTTATACAATTTCTTTAAATTAAATTCTTAATTATTTATTTACATTTAAGCTCAGTACACCGCATATTATCCGCTTTAACAAAGTAGTTTTAACATCAAGGTTTACACAGAGCAGCAACAGGAGGTAAGACTGAAAAATATAGATAGTTTATTGAATTTAACTTAAAAATTTATTGCACAAAATTTTTATATTTAGCAGCCCAAACGAAAACGAAATATTCCATTATTTTAAAATATATACATAGAAACAACGCTACGCACCAGCACTTAAAAATATGAAAAGTCTACGTACATATGTTATACCCAGATTTGTAATTGGTTAAATTTGTAACAATATATATAACGAATTGTTTATTATTATTTATATTTCATCTAGATAGAGATAGAACTAAAAATGTTTTGTCAAACAAATTCCTTAACACCATTAAGAATGAATACTTTTTAATTTTTATTTTTTTAAATTGTTTGGAGTAATGGATATTGGTATACATTTTTTTACCAGTTCTAAGAAAAATTATAAATCGATATAAAATATGTAAAAAATAAAAACATTAAGAATATGTAGTATAAATATTTATATACTGTTTAAATAATTTTTATTTTTAATTATTTAAATTTGAACAAAACCGCTGTTAAAATAAGCT